AAAAATCTTTATGATGAGGTTAATTATGAATTATTGGAAGGTATGATAAATATGATAAAAAATTTCTAGATTATATGATTCAAAATTTTTTATAATACATCTTTTAAAATTTATTATTATTATTATTATTATTATTATTACTTTATACATTACTTTATAGACTTTCCTGCTTGGTTACGCGGTTGCGAAATGGATAAATATGCTTCTTTATTTGAAGGAAAGCGATGGCAAGATATTGTAAAAATGAAATATAAAGATTTAAGAGAATTAGGAGTTGATCATCATGAATCCGCATGGCAATTACAATCAAACTTTTGGATTGTTAACTGCGATCTTGTAAGTTATTTATTTCTATGAAAACAAAAAATATATATTAATCAGAATCAATAAAATGATATTCTTTAAATATTTTTTAGGCTGCGAAAAAAGGAAAAACATTACCTTATAAAGGAGGCGTTGATAGAATAAATATTGATTTGGAATTATTAAATGGTATTGCATTACACGTGTTAGGTCGCGTACATTTTTTTAATATAAAAATATAAATTATTAACAATTTTATTTTAAATTATAAGATTTTCCTGAATACCTTAAGACTATTAATATGGAACAATATGCGCCTCTATTCGCAGGAAAAAATTGGAAAGAAATTATTGACATGGATCATAAAGATTTGAAAGCTTTGAAGATTGAATCCGTCAGTCACAGAATAGATATGGTTAAGCAATTCTGGGTCATGAGGCGTAAGATCGTAAGTAATTTAATTAATTAATTATTTATTTTATTTTATTTATTCATTTATTTATTCATCGTGTCTAACGTGTCTAACGTGTCTGACGTGTCTGACGTGTCTGATTAAATTTTTTTTAATATTTAGTATCATACTAAAAGAGTTAATAAATGCGTTTTGATTCCATCTAAAAAAAGAACAAAAATTCCTGACATGATTTCTGAATTCGAAGATCCAAAGGAAGAAGTCGTTCAACAAAACGAGTCTGACAATAAACTCGAATGATTAAAAAAAATGCCAAAACTTATCTGAACATTTTGTTTTTACTTTTTTTGTACTTTTTTGTACCTTTTTTGTACTTTTTTAGTTTTGATTCTCTTTTTTACAAATAAAGATAGAGAATTTTTTTTTTTTTAAGTTTCAATAAATGATTCGATTGAATTCAGTGTATAAGGTCAAAACAAATTACATCTTTAAGACAAGATTAAGGATAAAGTGTTTTTAATTATGATACATACACGTATAATTTCCACGGCAGGTAACGTCCGATTTTCCTTCCTATTGCTTTTCTGCACGTACGTTTACGTGTTATTTTTTATTTAAATCATTCTAATCAATAATGACGAAGGAATATCAACAAAAGGACCGTGTTAATATCTTGAATCTCCACCAGACAATTCGAAAAAATATATTTTACTTTAAATCAAAGCATTATTG